AGTCTTCTGTTGAACCTCACTTACGTCTTGTCGCTCACGTACAAACTGACTGTTGAAACGTCATCAGGGTCATCGGTTTTAGCGGACCTTGTGCAGTGCCTCACCTTCGCCATCGCCATGAAACTTCAGGAGAAAGATCGGAAGAACGGAATTGGATCTTCGATGCTGTTGTTTGCTTTTTGGTTGGTGACCGCCGTCTGCAAGCTGCCCGAGTGCTTGCGCCACATCCGGGATGTCTTCGTGTTGGACAGTAATCTGCCTAACGTTCGGAACTTTGAGTTCTTCGTGTGGGCTACAACCTATCCTATGGTTCTCTTTCAGTTGTTTCTCTCCTGCTGGACAGACGCCAGGCATGACGCGAAGAGACCTTACCTCACCGCCCCACCCCTGTCCTTCCTCCTGTTTGCGTGGTTGTCAAATCGCATACTTAAAAGATCCCAGCGCCGTGTTCAGCTGAAGGATATGTACAGCTTACCAGGATATATGATGACTGGGCGAAGCCACAGTAAGTGGAACGCGCTTTGGGTGAAGGAACTGAATTCAGCTGGATACGTACCGGGAGACGGATTATGTGCTGTCTCTAGACCGTTACCTTCATTGTTCAGGTCACTGTGGAAAGCGTATTGGAAAAGTGTTGTAGTTTCGTGCTTTCTAGCTTTGCTACGAGCCATTCTGAAGATCCTGCCCGCTCTTCTGTTCTACCTTCTGATGGGCTACATGGCCGGAAACGATCCAATGTGGAAAGGTGCGTTGTACGCCGTCGGGACGGTAAGCGCCAACTTTGGGTCGGGCCTGCTTTCTGTGCACATAAAGAGAACACTCGCCTTTGCGGGGCTAAATGCGAAAACTGTCTTGGTGGCAGCCATTTATAGGAAAGTACTTCGGCTTTCTAGCGAGTCCCAGAGGGACTTCCCAATAGGGGAGCTGATCAACTTGATTTCCGTTGATGCCGATCGGATATTCAGCCTCAGTTTCAGCTTTTATCATGTGGTCAGTGGAGTGCCGGTGATCATGATTGCTCTAAATGTCCTGTGGCAATTCCTTGGAGGGGCGTGTCTCGCCGGCGTTGCTGTCATGTTCATTGTAATGGCCGTGATGGCACCAGCCTTCAGATTCGGGAGCAAGTATCAGATAGGTCAAATGCAGTTGAAAGACAGAAGACTTAATACTGTGGCGGAGATGTTGAGCAGTGTGAAAGTTCTCAAGCTGTTCGCCTGGGAAGATATTTTCATGAAAAAGTGCACATACTTGAGGTTAAAGGAGGTGGGTTTTCTCAAGAAATATTCATATATGGCTGCGATTTGTTTTTTTCTTCTTTCTAGTTCGTCAGCTATGGTTTCTTTGGCAAGCTTCGTTACCTACGTGTTGATCAGCGATGATCACATTCTCGACCCAATGACTGCGTTTGTGTCGTCCATACTCTTTAATCATATGCAGGTCCCAATGTTTATGATTCCAGACTTTATAACGAACACGGTTCAGACGAGCATTTCAATGACGAGGATTCTAAGATTTTTACTATCCTCTGAAATAGAAGAGTGTTCGGTCGGTCAACAACTTGATGAAGGCGCTGCGATCTCGGTGAAAAATGGAACTTTTTTGTGGTCCAGGGACAGAACCCCTGCGTTGACCAACATTAGCCTCACAGTTAAAACCGGTCAGCTGATTGCAGTCGTTGGACCCGTGGGCGCCGGCAAGTCGTCCTTGCTGTCCGCGTTGCTTGGAAACCTTAGAATTGGCTCAGGATCGGTCAACTGCATAGAAAGTGTGGCGTACACTCCTCAATGCGCGTGGATCCAGAACAAGACCATACGAGACAACGTACTCTTCACGTGTACGTACGACGCCGAACTGTACAAGATGGTTCTGAAGGCGTGTTGCCTCGATAGAGACTTAGCGATTCTTCCAGGCGGAGACATGACTGAAATTGGCGAAAAAGGAATCAACTTAAGCGGTGGTCAAAAGCAGAGAGTCAGCCTTGCAAGGGCAGCTTACCAAAGGAAAGACCTTTACCTATTTGACGATCCGCTCAGCGCGGTGGACGCACATGTCGGTGCTTCCCTTTTCAATGAGCTTATTGGGCCTCAAGGAATGCTCAGAGAAACCACGCGAGTCTTGGTTACCCATAACTTTTCGGTGCTTTCCGAAGTAGACTACATTGTCGTCATGCAGGAGGGTTCGATTGTTGAGACTGGTACCTTCGAAGATCTCAAACACGAAGGAAGTGTTCTTTCGAGGTTGCTGAAGAACACTTCTAAGGAGGTTTCGAATGTTACGGTTAATGAGGACACGGCTACGGACGTAGACAACGAGCCAGACACTGAGTCAGGGCAACCGAATATTAGCCTTGTGGAGGAAGAGACAGTGGAAGAGGGCTCAATCAGTTTCCGAGTGTACAGAACTTATATAAGACACGCTGGGTTGGCACTGCTGTGGGTGATTTTGTGTTACGCTGCTTACATTTTAATCGGTGTGTTCGTTGGTATCTGGGTGAGCGAATGGACCGATGATTCACTACTTTCTGGTGGGACTCAGAACCTATTTTTGCGTACGTACAGGATCGAGGTTTACATCCTCCTCGTTATCTTCCAGGCCCTTGCTAATTTTTTTGCACTGGTTATGCTGTGGAAGGTAGCGCTCTCCTCCTCCACAAGGCTTAGCCAGCTGATGTTCGAGGCTGTGATGAAGGCACCTCTGTCATTTTTCGATGTCACTCCGTCTGGACGCTTGTTGAACCGCTTCGGCAAAGACATTGACCAGCTTGACGTCCGGCTGCCGATAGTAGCACATCTTACTCTTCACTGTTTGTTATTTTTTGCATCATCTGTTGTCCTCATATGCGTATACCTTCCGAGATACGTCCTTATTGTGGTTCCTGTTGTGGTCTGCTTGTTAGTTTTACGTCAAAAGTACGTGGTCCAGTTTCGTCAAGTCAAAAGGCTAGAAACAGTCACGCGTTCTCCGGTCAACAATCACTTTTCCGAGACACTAGCAGGTTTGAGCAGCGTCAGGAGTTTCGGCGTTCAGAGCGTCTTCACACGGGAAAACGACGACAATATCGACACCATGCAGACCTGTGCTGTATACGGCTATAATTTCGAGTCCTGGATAGAAGTCTGGATAGAAATAATCAATGAAGCACTTCTTCTCTTAATGATGTTGTTCCTCGTTACCAACCGCGACGGGATCAGTACGGGAACAGCGGGTCTTCTAGTGTCCTACATGATGAGTGCTATATTCACCTGTACCCAGCTTATTTTCTACTCAAGCGAACTGGAAGCAACTCTAATATCAGCCGAACGTTTAGACGAGTACAGCCGTTTGAAACCCGAAGGGCCGTGGACGTCGAAGTTTAGACCGGACCCAGACTGGCCCGGTTCAGGTTCGGTGTCCTTCAAGTCTTACGCAACTCGATACCGCAGCGGCTTGGACCTCGCCCTCAGGGACGTTAACCTGGACATACGCCCTGGTGAGAAGTTAGGGATCGTAGGACGGACGGGTGCCGGCAAATCGACCATAACACTCAGCCTCTTCCGCATCATCGAAGCAGCGGCAGGCAGTATTGTAGTGGATGACGTCGACATTGCAGTCTTGGGATTGCACGACCTTCGTTCCAGGTTGACCATAATACCACAGGATCCAGTTTTATTTCACGGCACTCTGCGGTTCAACCTCGACCCGGCCGAGCATCGTGATGCCAGTGAGCTCTGGTGGGCACTGGACAGATGTCATCTTGGCGATTTCTTCAGAAACAGCCAGGGTCTGGACTTTGAAGTTGCCGAAGGTGGACTCAACCTCAGCGTGGGACAAAGACAGCTGGTCTGTCTCGCGAGGGCTCTGTTGAGAAAGACGAAGATACTCGTGCTCGACGAAGCCACCGCTTCGGTGGACGCCAATACCGACATGCTCGTTCAGCAGACATTGAGAGACGCGACGAGTGGGTGCACTGTCCTGACTATAGCGCATCGTCTTCATACGGTTCTGTCGTCCGATCGCGTTGTTGTGATAGACCAAGGAAACGTTGTTGAAGTCGGCAGTCCGGCGGAACTGCTGAATGATACGACGTCGTTGTTTTATGCTATGGCTCGTGAAGCGGGAGTTGCATTTCGCGACGCCAAAGTGAGATAATGTATGTCAGATATTTTGGACACGTTAGTTGTGGGTGTGAACAGTTATGTTATGTGGACACCTTTTGTGTGAACAGTTATGTATCCCACTTCTTTGTGGCAACGTACTGACAGTTTCCGGAATAGCTTAATAAAATAAAATATTTGGAATCATTTCAATATTTGATTATCGTTGAGATTTTTTTATGCTAGAGGGGCGAATTTATAGATAATCATTTTTTTTTATGGGCGGGGAGGGGGGAGACATTTGTTTATGTTTTATTTAATCACGCCGGCTGGCTCTCACCCCGGGTTTCAAAAAAATACAATGTAACACCACGGTTGTTGCGTGAATATTTTTTTTTCGAGTAAATTTACCGTGCAGCCTGCTTTCGTTGGCGTCTATGGCCTCTAAACTCGTCAAACACAAAGTTCTGGCCGAACTTGACGAAGCGCACCGATTGGACTATCAGGACGCAGTCTGAGTTGTGACATTAAGCAATGCAAGCGCGACATTTTGCATTGCTTAATGTCACAACTCAGACTGCGTTTTTTTGTCTAAACATATGTTTCGGCATCGTCATTTGGTGAGCTGCCTCCGTAAGTTGCGCTGATTGGCTCTCCGAGTGGTGTGCGTGAAAGTAGACGCACATACTTTTTTTTGAGTATACTCCGTCGACCCCTAAGCCGAGACTGCGGAGGAAGCTACGTCCTCGCTGGACCAGTCATATGTCTCTCTTTGGCGACGCCATCATGCTCCCGGCCATATACCCACGCGCGGAGAGCCGGGTCAGGTGATAAGGGGGAGGCGGCTGATTGGTTGCGGTACGTAGCTCCCACTGTAGTCTCAGCTTAAAGGGGAACGGAACATATTGATAGTTTAACGACCCCCACCTTGCATCCCTTGGTGAGCAGCGCCGCAACGATTGCACTTCCAAGTCCTCCCACGGCGCCTGTCACCAGAGCGACGTGGCCTCGAAGATCCTTCATGGTTCGTTGCCGAGGAATGAAATTGCCGCTTTCGCAAGAACACGCTGATGCCGCGTTGGCGTTTAACGGTGGCCAGAGACTGGAGGGCTTTTATAGGCTCGCTTCCCTGGGTAGCCCTCTCCGTCCTCCAGCGAAGTATGACGCAAATACAATTCCTTGTCGCAATTTCTTTTTATGCTTTCGAATTTTATGCTCGCTTCCCTCGGTACCCTGGTGTACCCTCTCCGTTCTCCAGCGAAGTATGACGGAAATACAATTCCTTGTCGCTATTTCTTTTTATGCTTTCGAATTTTATTTAGTTATGTGTTTGACCGTAACTTGGTAAAGAGCGAACGCTGCAGCTCCCTCGAACCAATCAGCCCGTTGAATGAAAACACGTGACTATACTCTTTCTCACTTGTTGCACGCAGTGCTGTCGACGTCACGAACGGGTGAGAGAGGAACGCTGCTTTTCTACCGATTTTGAGTGACGGGCTATAATCTCCCTGGAAGACAAAAGCGACTTACGAGGCACACAAAAAAGGTTGCGGGGTGAGAGGAGAGTTCATCCAAATCCTTTACAAGGGGGAATACCAGCAGACTCTGCTCGTTAGCAATATTTGGGGCGATGGCAGCGCCGATTCCTCCCCTGGTGGCGAGGGATAATTTGGGTGTGTCCCTCTCCCCATTTTCTCTCCCCCTCCTCTCCCATTTTCTCCTCCCGCCAGAACACGTGACCGATATGCGTCACCGACGATGCCAAACGCGGGCGGGCGATCACGCGGGCGCCGGGCCATGTCGGGCTCGGCGACCTGTCACCGTATGTTGATGCCAGCGTCCTTCTCGACGGATGACACGCTACAGTGTCCTTTTGTAGTGCACCAAGTATGACGCGTTCGCCGCTGTAAACAATCAGTGAAGATGGCAGGAGGGAGTGTGCTCCGTTCTCCGCTGCAAGAACCGGACCTTGCACGGCAAACACTTGCAATTCTTTCGGTTCTTTCCAGATCAAATCACGTAAGTAAACAACTTCGGCGTTGCGTTTGTCATGCTGACCTTATACAAAATGCGTGTGTAAAACATATATATGATCTGTGTTTGTTGAATGCTGAGCTGTATATATTTGTTCAAAGCGGTATTGTCTGTGCGAACGTAGATCTGTGTTTGTTGAATGCAAAGCTGTACATATGTGTTCGATGTGCAATAAATATTGTTTCAACCAAAATACTGTCGAATGACATTTATGAATGGAATTTGACTTCGCACTTTCAATTATCATTGTAGAAATAGTAAAATAATTCAAACCAACTTTGTTCAAGGCCAGCATGTTCTATTACGAATAATGTTGTCTATCCACCAAGTAATAAAAAAATTATTCCCAACTTTCAGAATGTTTTTTTTTCTGTTGCCTCGGGCTGCTGCAAAGGACCATCTATTCGCAATTGGAAAATAGCGAGAAATGGATCACTCGATTAAATTGTCTCATATCTAATGCACAGAACCCCACTCCTGATATCAGAATTTGACGCCAGCCAGACATTTCCGAAAGCAGCACTTTGGAAAATTCTCGACATACTGAGCTCGCAAAACTAGGGTCGCTTACTCAGAGTCTTAGCGATAATCATAGTAGCAAATACTTTGCTGTGAAGTATATGACAATATATTGCCGTGCCTGCTAAACGTGCTTCTCGTGTCGACATAGTTCCTAAATATTAGTTGCTCCGTACTACTTTGAAGTGCGATTACGACTAACCACACTTATTACAACATCTTTCAGAACCACCCGTACAAATTTTGATACTCGCTGATCGAGCTACATACGTGCGGTTTATATAACAGAACGTGTACATGGAGCTCATCATACGTATACGCGCCCTTTAAATGTCTGCTGCTTTTTAAATTCAACAGACGACCTACGCCGCCGCGACCGAACAGCGTGCACACACTGAAAGAAGTTTGGCCGGTAGTAAAATATCCCGCACCGAGAGACGGCGCTAGTCACCATCCGATCCTAAAGGGGAAAATCGCAACGCCATGACACATCCACCCATTCAAAGTGCGCAAATTCTGTCGTCCCCGAGGCCATTGTATTCGCGGGGAGTGTCCTCTATTCCCCCTCGCAAAGTATTTGGTTCATCCCCCCACTTCGCCTCTTCTCAAACTTCTCCTAAGCCAAATTGTGATTACGCTCTCTTCCTTTGAGTGTCACGTGTTTCGCCTTCGGCACTCCGATTGGCACGCAGGGACCGTGGGCTTTGCCGACTGCCGAGTTACGGGGGGGGGGGGGGGGGGGGGGGGGGCGGGGGGGGGGGGGGAAGCATGGGCAATGGACCCTAACAAAGTAGAGAGCTGGGCTAGTTGGTGGAAGTTAAACATGGTGTGCATGTGTAACAGCGCGTAACGACGAAGACAAGGAAAAGGAACACACAACACAAGACGAGCGCTGACTCGTAACTAAATATCTACTGGTGAAAAGAGAAACTAGGAAAATATAAAAGGCACAACCACGCATGCGCCATCCAAACTGTCTCGTCACAAGGGCTTCATCAAGAAGCGCTTCGTCTATCAGCGCGTCGCTATTCCCGTATTCGTAGTAATTAAGCATTTCTCTTTTCGATAGCGTTACCGATGACTTGCTGACACACTGCTATCGCGCTCCGTAATTAACAATGTGGAAGGCTTCTAGCACTTCCCACATCACCTTAACTTGTTGCTTTCCTAAGAAAGCAGTTTTATCGAAGGCAGGTTTGCACTTGCAAGTCCCTCAATGTCCCGACAAATGGCCGCCTACCGCAGGTCTCAGGGAGTTGTCGTGCTCCCTGAGCCTGTCGTTTAAGCCTCTACCGGTTTGTCCAATATAAACCTTGCCACAAGAGTGGGGTATCCTGTAACACCCGAAGTGCAAGACACAAACGGTTTGGCACGCTTTTTGTTAAAACTATCTTTTTGGTAGCCCTTGCGCCTTCGAGTTGACCCTCGAACAAATTTGGCTCATTCTCTTGGGAGCGGAGAACACAACCGGGACGCCATACCTCCCTCCTAATTGTCTCAAATTATGAGATACCTTTTGCAGGTAGGGAATGACAACAGTCTTCCTCCTGTCAACACTTTTCGTTTTTACGCGCTGTTAGACCTACACCATGTTCACAATGCACTCTTTTTTACGTCAAAAAAGAAAAAAAAAAAAGAAGTGTTGCGCATTATTCATACGCCTTGCGAAGTAGTTCTTAGAAGATTTGGTTGTCGGAGGAAGCAGCGACACTTTTGGCGTTTGAAATGTTTCAAAAAGGTAACATACATCTAATGTGGAATGCACATATACGTGTATGTTAACTTTCTACATAAAAGGGGAAATTAGTAATCCTCCGCGAAGAGCCAAACCTTTTTCTGTTTTTACTGCGGTTCTCGAGGTGATAACGGGTATAGATAACCGACACGCTGTTTACAAACAAGTCGGCATTTGCCCACACCGGGTGTGGGCATTGCGCGGGCGCAGAAACCGAATTCACGTGGCTTGAAGCGTCTGCGCATGCGCAGTGCCTCCCACAGCGCCACCGCAGCTGCGTGACGTCAGGGCCGCGTGTTGTTCTATACATCATTCAAAAGACACGGAGTTCTCCGCAGACATGGTGACAGAGTTGTCTGCGGACTTGCCTCGAGCATGTTTGCTTTGTACATACCTATGTACGCTTCTAACATGTCCGCAAACATTTTTTTGTACGCCCAAAAATAAAAAAAGAGGCATTCAGACGTGTTCAAAGCGTGCGTATGTATGAAGCAAACGGGCTTCGAACACATGCCTGAAGCTTGTCCGCGGATATTTGTGTCATCATATCCGCGGAGAAATATCTGCGCCTTTTGGTAGACGTATGAACTGCGGGACTGCAAACTTTAGTGACGCAGAAAAATAGCAGCGTTTCAAGGCTTTCTTCTCTATGAGTTGTTGAATGCAGGCGAAGCGTCGTGGATGGAAACTGGGACGCATTCGTTTTGCATGAAAAACGTGGCAGCGGCGGTATCCAACTTAGTCCCTCGTAAACCCCTCTACGAACGTTCTGCGAGGTCAAGACAACGCGAACGGCGGAGATGTGCTACATTGCGAAGGTGAGGCCGCACCGTGAAGGGCTGTCGGCCACGGTAATAACTTGAACCTCCATTGCGTCGAAAGCAGCTCAAGGGGAGTTAATATTCGAAGCGATGTTTTTCTTCTTTTTTTTTTTTTTGTTGCAGCTGTTTCAGCCGCGGTGGTGTGATGTGTCGACACGTTGTTCCCCTCCCTTCTTCTGCCACTTCTCTTTCCCTTCTGGTGTTCGGCTTTGGGATATACACGTACTCATATCTCTGTTACGTCACGGCGCAGTAGTGGCGCGTCGGGCGCACATCCGGCATGGGGCACGTGCATTCCTGTGCCACTCTGGAAGAAACCGTACAAAAACCTGCCCTCTCGTCTCGTCGGACCACGATTGCTTGGGCGGGAAGTACTTCGGATAGAATTCACGAATACTTGTGGTCGTCAGATTTATTTGTTTTGTTCCAACATGAACGACGGAAAACCGTCAAGTTGTACGGACCACCTGGGGACTACGTTCAGTGCGTCATCACGTTCAAACGGCCACCTCATCGTTCGAGCTGTCGTCTGCTCTCTCAAACGTTTCTGCTTGTCGTCTGCTCGTTCAAACGATAGCGGCCCGAAGACCAAACGTTGACCCGGTAATTGCGATAAGTACAGACCTCAAAAGTCGTTTAAGTTTGAAGGTTGCTTTGGGAAAGTAGGCTCACTGTAAACCGTAGATATAAGGAAATGTTGATAATTGTTACTAATGGCCATCACCGACTTGTTATGCATGATTCACTCGGTCTGATTCTGCGTGCGATTTTCAGTATCGACGTCGACATCTCAGCTACGGTTCAGGCTTTGGCAGCCCGTGCGACGTCATGACTGAAAATAGCGAGCAGAACCTCATCATGTGAATCAGGCTTTAGCGTCCATTCTGCGGCGTCCACGCGGAATGAACCGCCGCATGTTACATTATTCATGCCGAGTTTTGCGGTGTAACGAGCCTCGTTAATTTCGCTGAG